TGTAGCTCGGTTCAGCAACAAGAAAACACAAACATTCATTGTTTTTGGTAAACCAAATAGAAAAATTCCGACTCAAACCATCTCAAATCTACCAACAATTAAGCAAGCAATTTTGGAGAGTATAAAAATAAGTTATAGTAAAATCCACATGGCTTTGTCTTTGCTAATATTGTTCAACAAATCGGTTGGAAAGTGATCATCGACCCAACTCAAAGTCTAAGCTCCAAGTGTAGCTCTTCATCACCACCGTTACTTCGCTCCTCTTCTTGTTCCCGAATCATCACTTCCCCTTGTGGCTGGTTATGAGTAGCATTTTAGGCATCTTACCTTCTTCACCTCCCAACACTTTCGGTGCATTCAAAGGCATCTTACATTTTCCTTTGTCAGTTTCACTTTGGTTATTGTGAAAACTGATAGCTGCAGCACGAGCATTATCCCAGCCATGTTCAGCATAGGGCCTTGTGGCGAAATCTATTATTGGTATTGTTTGATCGTGTACAGCATTGGCCGGGTTTGGTGTTTCAAACAATACTTTTTAATCTATTATTGATCGTGTACAGCATAAACCAATAATAGAGTATTATTGATCGTGTACAGCATTGGCCGGGTTTGGTTTTGACATTAAAAAGTTTCCTCCAGTTTAGAGTTGCTGTGTCTTCAGCTGCTGGATTCTGTTGGCCAAGAATGTGCTGAAGATCCTCTTTGTGGAAACCACAGCGGTTAACATGGCTATCATTGTTTGACTGAAAACCAAGATGTCATTTAAGGAACAGTGATGTTGGTGTTTATAGTTGATTAAAAAATCTGAAACTGCGATTTTAATTATTTTAGTAAAAGAGTAACGAAATAAAACAACTAGCAAAGTGAATATACTACATGTATTTTACTCCGGATTGCATTTTATAGAAGATAAAAATATGATTTGAACCGTTTAGTAAAAAATGATGATTGAGATTTTAATTATAGTTTCATACTTTATCTTCCAATATGCAGTTTTATTTTATTATAGAGGAGATAGATCAATAATAACCGATGAAAGTCATAGATGTGTAAACTAGACATCCATTAATAAGTTTTTTTTTATACGTGCCTTTAAAATTTTTGTTTGCACAATTTTATTCTAATTTTGGTATAGATTACATGTACTTTTAACAAATTTTATCAGAGTTTTTAAAATAATTACACATTAAAGACTCAAACTTGATACTATTAGTTATGTTTAAATAACTTTCATTAGTTGATCCATATATTTAGTAAAAAAAATTTTAATTTGTTGGTAAGTGATATTTTGGGTTGCTCAATGAGGATATATGATACATGTTTCATTAATTTATGTCGTCCATAACAATACAAGTGTAGAACAAATATTGAAACTTGTTTTCTAGGAGTTATATATACTGATTTTCGAGTCGTCCCATAAAAATGCACATATCTCAGCATTTATGTCACTTACTTGAGTGTTCAGTTTAGGAACATTTATGTCTTTTGCACACAGTGACTTGTCTCTCCTTTCTTCCACAATTGCCGTAGAATGAGTACCAATGTTTTCACCTGTGTCACGGAACGATGGAATCTAAAATTAGTTGCACTTAATCATTCAAACAAAAATTGAAGTCTAAAAAAGGATTTTATGTTCCTGGAGGCTTTACTTTAAATAATAAAAAGGAAACTATTTGAAATTAGCAAACACGTTAATAGCAAAATAAGTTTCACACAAGAATTTCAATAATATATATATATAATTTTATTTTTAACTTTTAACATATTCAATTATATATGGTTGTCATAGAAGCTATTATTTCTTTTGTCTTATATATATGGATTTCGATCTAATTAATTTGTTTATTTTTGTTTTGACCTAACTCGAGAATCACGCAAGGTCAACAAGATATACAACCAGAAGTGTCTTATATATACTAAACACTCGACATATATGCAATACAGCAATTAGCATAATACAGTGAATGAAATAGATGGTTTAAGATACTTCTGCGTGATTTTGCTTTAATATTGGTTGAATGATAATTCAATAATTAAAGTGCTGCCAATTGGGAATTGCTACGATTAAATCCCTCCCATTAAATATTCTCAATCACTTTTCCAGTAGAAGGGGAACTTCTATTTTCCCTTTCTAGATGAGTCCTAAAAATACAATTACGACATGGTACACTATGAAAATGTACCTGCCTGAGGGTACACTCGTAGTTTTCTTAGTGAGAAGGGCCGAATGGATACTTCAAACGGACTCTTCAGAGGGGGGAGGTACCTGCCAAAGGCACTCCGACGCTCAAGTTAGGCCAAGCACGATATTCTAGGGTAATTAATGAACAATGACGTACCTCGTTACGTGTGACCTATTTATAATACCTGACATGGGCCTGAACGTGGTGGGCCTATTCTAATCTTTACCAAATTAGGTAATACGATGCTAATCAGCTAATCATGTCTTAATTATGCACTTGTCCTTGTTAACTGTGATTTGTACTATAACCCGTTTAACCTATCGGCACATTGCCGAGCCGACAGGCTAATGCTTGGGAGGTTGCATGTCTTCGACTGTTGACCGGGCCGGTAAACGTTTACTTGGTAATCTTATCGGATCGGCATTGGGCCGAGCCGATACGTAGTATGCGGGGATGCATCATGCTATTTGCATCGGCCTTCAGCCGAGCCGACATGTGCTAGTTGACTAATCTCGGCCTTCGGCTATAAGCCGAGCCGATGCTAACGTCAGCCTTGGGTATGGTCCAGTTCGCATGGGTGTCTGACGGAACGGCACGTGTTGGTCAACGTGACCGATAGGGTCCTCCCGGTACACAAGCCCCCCAGCCTTGAGGAGTATAACGACGCAAAGGGTAAATGTGACACTTCGTTTGTTACCTTTTTTGAGGGTAGGCCAAGGGTTACAACTGCTTCAGGGAAACGAAGGGTTGTAACCGTTGGTCATTAATGACGCACGCGGGGAGTTATGACTTAATGGAATATGGAGAGACGTAACCGTTGTCGGAATACCAAGGGTTATAACCGTTGGGTATTAATGACATACGCGAAGGGTTACGCATCGTGAACCGTTGGATCTAAGTGATCCAACGGTGTGCAGATGGGTGTGACTCTTGGTAACTTGCGGAGACTGCCTATAAATAGGCATGTTGGGGGGGTCCTCAAACATACACATTTATTACTTGCTCCGAGCCGAGATCGTTTGAGTTGCTGCATTCGCATATTCTTCACCAAAATTTGGTCAAGTTCAACACTCAGGTACGTAATGGCAGATTTAAATGTTGTTCATATTGACTCTTCCGCGGACGAGGGTGATTCTGGGTTGAGAGAGACGCCAGACCGAGATGTCCTATCGGCCTCGGCTTCCAACGGAGAGGATCGTGCAGGGTCCGCACCCGGGTCCGAACGGTCGCAAAGTGGGAGTCACTCTTCATCGGCGATGGCTTCTGACGATCAGTCGAGCCGAGGTGGTGGATCGTCCAGGAGTTTTTCTCCCATATCAACTCCTGGATATTCGTGGGTGCACGGGGAGGTTGGCAGTGTGTATTCACGATACACCGATAAGAGCTCCCTGATCCGCTTCGTATCGACAGCGAAGTTCTTGACCTTTCCCGAGGAAGAGGAGCCCTCCGCTATCTTTTTTCAGCCGTGTAGAGGTGATGGAGGGCCGAACCCAGATTTCGTATATTTGGACCAAGGGTTGAGCAAATACCAGTTCTTCTATGTGTATGATTACATGTTCCGGGATTTGAAGATCACTCTACCTTTTGATGATTATTTTGTCAGTGTATTGCGCCTACTGAACGTGGCGCCGAGCCAGCTTCATCCCAACACTTGGGCGGCGATGCAAGGGTTTAGGCAGTTATGCCTGGCTCTTGGTATCCGACCCACTCCGCATCTGTTCCTACACTTCTATTCGTCTCGGCCGACGAAGAAGATTAAGTGGTTGTCCCTGGTTCGGCACAGTGATTGCCTACTACAGCCTTTCACCACCTTTTATAAAAAAATTTAAGTGGGGTTTATGAAAGTGATGATTCAGCCAGAGCCAGGGAACAAGTATTTTTTTGATGTCGAAGGGAGATCATTGTTTCCATTGTACTGGACTTTTAGTTTCCTCTGTTAAATGATGACGTGGCAAACAGACTGTCACGTCATCGCCCAACGTTGTATGTCATGTT